ATATACAATCCGCCCCTAGTAAAATGTAATCATGACTAATGCAGGCTTCATAGAACTTTCTATCCAGTTCCTTGGCATAAGAACTGGAAACTTGGTAAGTGCTAATGAGTGTTTATTGAATGGATAAATAATACATCTTAGGCTGTGTGACTAATTACTGTATTCCTTCAGACATAATCATTTATAGCCATTAATTCAAACTATGTTACCACCATAGAAATAATTCATTTTGGTTGACTTGCTTTAAGAAACTATTTTTAGCTTCTCTTACTACTATCTAAATCATTTTAAACTTGGTTATTTGTTTTAAAAAGCATTAAATGCAGAATACATTGTTTGTTGTGAGAGAAATTAGAACCCTCAGTCTGCAATTAGCTTGATGCTAATGACCCTGAGCTCATCTTCATTCTACTTATCTAGGTGAGAGAGTCCTTTTGTAGACATCCATTATCTCTCTGGCTTAAAAATTCCAGAACCCCAAAATCATTGAAACATCCATTGGCAGTCCCTTACCGCACATGTCTGAAATCCTTTAGTGTCAAGTGCAGCTAGGAATTCAGAAAGGTTTGGACTTTTGTCTTGACATATGTCCAAGGGAATCTGAAGCAAACACTCACTACAAAATCAGTAGTGAGATATATCAATATTCAGACAGAGGAAGACAGTAAATAGCCTCATGTCAATTTAGGTCACCTTTTGCTACCAAATTCATCATTAAAAAAGTTTTTTTAGTTCTAAATTGTTTGACTTTCAGAACTGCAGATCCTGAATGAATAAGCTGTTATGGGTAGATGTTGCTAGAGAAAGTTTTGAACACTCAGCAAAAAACTGGTTGGTGGCCAAAATTGTGTAAGTCACCGGAATAAGTGAAACTCTACAATTCCCTTGATTGGGAAATGTGAAGGACATTTCCTCAGACTTAGCTTTAAAGGACAGAAGGGATGAAGAAGCCCTAGGAATCAGTTCTGGCCTTGCTAATTCTTATGGATGTGAGCTTGACCCAATTCTAAGCTTATTTACACATCACCCTCCTTATACTGAAAGTCAAAAATCTTACTTAAGACTTTTAATTAGCTTATGCTTGACTACAAAGATGTAATAACTGAGTGATAGAGGCTTTCCATAACAAAGTCTATCATATTTCTAAGGTTAGTTTTTGTTGTTTTTTATTTTTTTGTTTGTTTGTTCTTTTGTTTTTTGAGCCAAGGTCTCACTGTGTAGTCCAGACTGACCTCAAACTCATGATCTTCCTACCTCAGTCTCCCAAGTGCTGGGTTACAAGAATGTACCACCATGCCTAGCTAAGTTTAGTAGTATTTTAGTTTATTTTTTAAAAAAATTATCTGTCTCTCTTGATACCTAAGAAGTTAATAGCTACCAGAAGATGAAAATGTACACAATTTTTTTAAACTTGAAAACTGTTGTATTCTTTTTGTACAGGAAGAAGTTTACAGAAGTCTTTATAGGTAGCACACTAAATGTGATCTATATAAAGACTTGAATTTCCAAATGCTAAATAAGTAACAAGTTTCTTAATTTTAGCTAATGTTTTAAATTTAAAGAGCACAGAAAATGATCAGTACCATGTGATGAGATTGGGATCACAACTATAATTCTCTTGCTAAGTTTGTTTAGAAAGCCATTAGGGTAAAATGAGAAGTCACCACATCCTCATAGAAATGAATTCAAGAGTTATTATTACACACATGGGAAAAATATGGAGGAAAGTTCACATATGTCAGTAAGTTCCATAAAGTAAGAAAACCATCCATACATGTATCTTTATGCCCCAACTGAGAGTAAGTTGCTTTGACTAAATCCACTCCTTTCAAATGTATGCTATTTCCATTTTTCTGTTTTTATTTGCCAGTCCTGGGGCTTGAACTCAGGGCCTAGGCTCTGTCCCTGTGATTCTTTTACCCAAGGCTAGTGCTCTACCACTTGAGCCACAGAGCCATTTCCAGCTTTTTCTGAGTAGTTTATTAGAGATAAGAATCTCACTGACTTTCAAGCTTGGGTTGGCTTTGAACTAGATGGATCTTCAGATTATGGGCATGAGCCACCAGTGGCAGGCTGCTAGTTGCATTTTTTAAGCAAAGAGTTGATGAAGTAGGTCAAGATTATTTTCAGGCTAGTACAAAGTACCCCCAAAACAACTCCATCACTCTGCCTTCTTCTTTCCATTCTGTTCTTTCCCTGACACTTTCCCCTCCCTTCTATTTAACTCACATCCTATGAATGTTCAAAGGATCAAGGGTCTGGTATCACCTGGCGGAGCCAGAAAACTGTTTACATATTCAGGGCTTTTAATCTCAAATCCTTTGTATTTTAGTTCCTATGCTTGTGCTGGGTCTCCAGTATCACTGTGGCCTTGGGGTTCATCTTTATGTGCTTTTGAAGGCCTACCTTTGTCACAGGTGGCCTAGAAAGCTAGAGTTTACAACAGAAAGCCTATCCTGAGACTCACTCCTGGTCTGAGTTGTGCAAAGTGACTTCTGAACTCAACAAGCTCCTTTCCAGCATCAGCATGAGGATGGCTGAGGCCAGGATGAGGGTGATGGACAGCAGACTTCCCAGCATGGCCCTGCCCTGTTCCACACAGGCTTCAGAACCCCCAGATCTAGGGTGATAGGGCTGGATTTGGTGGGGACTAGTAATTCAATCAGGAGTCTTCAGTTCTTTTGACTCTAGCTGTATATTCTCTTTTCACTGAGGGCCGGAAGGAACCCCATCATCTCTGAAGTTTGGTGGGATCCAGTGAACTGTGACAGTTCTAGGAAAAATGCATCAGCTCAGGTATGGGGGAAGGGGAATGCAAAATAAGTTTAGGAGGGTGCTGATCTCTTATTTCCATAGTTAGAACTTGCTTTAATGAGTAAGAAAATGCAGCATATTAAGCCTGTGATTTTACAGATACTATACAGATACCATAAGAAAAAGTTTTAAAAGATGTATTAACAGCAAGGTAAAAACCTTAATGACTACTATCAGTGAGTGGCAATTCTAAAAAGTCAAGACAATCAGCAATCCACACAGCCTGTGATCCATTCTTCTAAGAGCTCCCTTCTAACCCCACTCTTCCCAGGAATTCCTTGAGGCTAAAGTAGAAGATTTTATATAGCCATCCTATAAGAGCAAAGTCTACTCTTCCCCCTGACAAGTGATAAAAATCTACTTTTCCCCCTGATAAGTGAATGTCCCATTCATCATCTATCTAGCATGCATGCCAATTCCTCCCTGATAAACTAAGTTCTGCTGTCACAGGACACATCCTACAGGATGTAGACCTGTCTTGGGCTCCATCTGTCTACCATGTACCATTCAGGGCTGCTTTAGTTCTGTCAAGGGGTTTTTGTATAGAAATCTGCCTAGATGGCTTCAATATGGAGAACATCCATAACTGTTCTCCTTATAATGTGGGGATAGGAGGTGGCAATGGGGTTGACTGTGTCAATAATATAAAGACCTTAATGCATCACTGTTCATTATGAGCCAGCTCCAAAACTCTGAGAATCAGGGTCCACTCTGTATCAAGAAGAAAAGTATAGCCAGGCACCAGTGGCTCACACCTGTAATCCTAGCTACTCAGGAGGCTGAGATCTGAGGATCTGGTTCAAAGCCAGCCCAGGCAGGAAAGTCCGTGAGACTCTTATCTCCAACAAACCACTAGAAAACTGGAAGCGGCCCTGTGGCTCAAGTGGTAGAGCGCTTGCTATGAGCTGAAGAGCTGAAGGACAGCGCCCGGGCCCGGAGTTCAACCCCCACAACCAACAAAAGAAGGAAGAGGAGGAAGAGGAGAAGGAGGAAAGTACAGCAAAGCAAGTTATTAATGGCTTTGATCCTGATCCTCAATTATGTGGTATAATTTTTGGATGAATCAGGTGAAGTGGCTGACAAAAAAAAAAGTCATCAAATTATGACATCACTTGTTCAATTCACAAGGAACCACAAGTTTTTTGTTTGTTTGTTTGTTTTTTGGGGGGGGGTCTAGTCGTGGAGCCTGAACTCTGGGCCTGGGTGCTGTCCCTCAGCTCTTCAGCTCCAGGCTAGCACTCTACCACTTGAACCACAGCTCCACTTCCGGCTTTTTTCTTTTTGCTTATGTGGTGCTGAGGAATTGAACCCAGGGCCTCTGGCATGCAAGGCAAGCGCTCTACCACTGAGCCGCCTTCCTAGCCCAAGGAACCACAAGTTTTAAGTGATAATCCCCAACAAGAAACCAGTTTATGGTTTAAAAAAAACAACCCAAACATCCACAGTTAACCATCAGTTATTTAAATACGTTGGATTTGAACCTATTTCTATTATGTGGTAGGTATTACTTTAAATCTATTTTAAAAGAACATTTTCTTGGAAGTGGCACTGTGGCTCAAGTGGTAGAGCTCTTGCCTTGAGCTGAAGAGCTGAGGGACAGCGCCCAGGCCCAGAGTTCAAGTCCCACAACCGACAAAAAAAAAGAACATTCATTTTCTTTACTTTTCTTATCATTTATTTGTCTTCAGAGGTTGGGCACAGTCACATTTAGGTTGACCAATTTGTCCATAGTTTTATCATTGAAGGTATCAACTCCTAAGAAACCACTCAGTAGCTTTACCGTAATGTTGTTTTTCTTTGCTGCTGGACTGTTGCTAATGCATGCAGGTATCTTTATGCTAGCTAGGAAAAATGGTAATCATTTATTTTATTGCTACAAATAATTTGTTAATTGTATTTATGTTAACTTCCTTAAATCCTTTACTGAACGAGGTAGAAGACAAAGGGAAGATATACAGTATAAAATTTCACATTGTATTTAACTCTCTCAAATAGAAACACAAGCAAAGCATAGTAGTACATGTCCACAATTCTAGTACTTGGAAGGAGGATCTCACATTTGAAGCCAACCCAGGATAATTAGTGAGACCTCATTTCAAAGATTCAAAAACAGAAAAAGAAATACAGAATTTCACAGGGTTCTTAATGCCTTTGGAATGAGAGGTAAGTATTAATACATACATTACCTTTATATCCTTGTTCTGTCTCCCTGAGATCAATTTTGGTTATTGGTTTGAAATCAGTATCCCATAATCGTATACAACCATCTCGCCCACCAGTGGCAAAGCCTTCTTCACATGCATACATGCTAAAGATTCCAGCCTGCCCAGTTAAAACAGATAATATTCAACATTACAATCATAGGTTAGTCATAATTGATTTTAAAACATTATGAAGTAAAACAAAACAAGAAACAATTTCCTGACAACAGACCAAGTAGACATTTATATCATCTTTCATCTCAGCTAGACTTTAAAATATTTATAATCACCACCCCAACAAATGTATTCCAGTGCTCTTTTTGCATTACAAAACTGGTAACAAGTTACTTTTTTTAAAAAAAAAAGCTATTTAGGAATATCTTGATTAAAGCAGATATGGAAATCATAAATTCCTATATATGACAACTAAGCCTTCTAAAAAGGTAAAACAATGGAGGCTCTTTAAAAAATTTCCTGTCCAAAGTAATCAAGTACAGACGCACAAAGAACACGAACCCTGTTACCAGTGTAAAGGTATCTGAAACACAGCTCAATGGCTCAACAGGCATCATGTGAGCCTAACCAAAAGCATAGAGCGAATCTGGGTCAGCCTGTTACACATCAGGTAAAGATGCTCTTTGTGTACCAGAACTTGTCAAGTGCATCTTGAAGTGATGTACTTGTTTATTTGGTTTGCTCAAGTGTTAGAAGCATACCATGTTGACATAAGAACCTGTATAAAAAGAAACTTGATTACTATATCAGCTACTTTTATGAATCAAGACAAATACTGACCTCTTGTTTTACTATGTTTTATTTAATTGTTTCACTCATATGAATGAAACTAAGAAAACTTGTCTTCAACATATAATACAGTGAAAGAGCTAAATTCATAGCTCTGTTGCTAAGAGTTGCTTAAGAAGCTTTCCTTTATATATACGTAGAGTAATATGGGGCAAGGGACATAGCTCATGGTGGAGCATTGTATATAGTAAGCATGAGGCTTGGAGTGTGATCCCTATATCAGTTCAATTTTTTCCCCCAGTCATGGGGCTTGAACCCAGGGCCTGGGCACTGTCCCTGAGCTTCTTTTGCTCAAGGTTACTACGCTATCACTTGAGCCACAGTGCCACTTCCAGCTTTTTCTGTTTATATGGTATTGAGAAATCGAACCTGGGGCTTCATGCATGGTAGGCAAGCACTTTACTGCTGAGCCACATTCCTAGCCCCTGATAGTATCAGAAACAAACAAAAAAGTAACAGGGAGTCAGTTCAGAGGCTATAAACTAAAATCTGTTCCTAGCCCCTGATAGTATCAGAAACAAAAAAGTAACAGGGAGTCAGTTCAGAGGCTATAAACTAAAATCTGTTGAGTTTCCAGGAATATTTTATCCAATTTCCATCCACCAAAGTAGCTTTTACCTTTCATATTCATCCTTCTGTTCTTCTGGTATTTCCACTGTATCATCAGTAGATATTAACAATGTGACCAATTTCATGTGTGTCAACAGACAAAAGAGTGTCAATAAAAGTTTGTCCTTGTTTTTATAGAGCAGACCATCAAGAGAGAAGGCTATCAATGGCATCTGTGACACTCTGGCACCTCTGCATAAGTGAGGAAAATCAGCATAAAAATAACAGTCACCCATGGCCTTCTGGTTCCAACTCTGGGCCACAGAGCAGCAGCACCACTCATCACCTAGATCCACACTGTAGAATGTGAATGGAAGCAAGACCCCAAGGGACTTCAGGCACTTTACAATTTGAGAACTTAGGAGGAAATGGTTCCAGTCTCCTGTGAAACTAATGGATGAATAAACACAAATCTGCCTATTACGGTGGAGGCTGAGTCTGTATACTTTTTGAGATATTTTTCTTTTAGATGAACAAAAATGGTTGAGGAAGTCTTCGTGTGTGTTTTGGGAGTGCTTGGTAAAAGTCTTCTCACTCAAGTTGGGGGTAGGAGGGAAATACAAGGATTTGTGATCTTAACTCGTATAGTGTAAGTCCTCCCCCAATTCCCATTTGGCCATACTCACACTGTGTGCACCTTGAATGGTACGGACTAAATTGAGCCCTTTCCAGACATAGATGTCACCATTTAAAGCACCAGAGTAGGTGATGTCTTCTTTGGCACATGCAAGGCAAAGAATGGTCTGAAGATCTCCCGTTTTGCCAAATATCCCTCTTTTTGCAGTCAGGGCATTTCCACATAGTGTCCAAAACTAGAAATTGATAAAAGAAATCAATTCCATAATAAAGTATCTTAATGCACTGTATCATAGGTATTCACCTTTCAGTACATTTTAGATAATGCACCATGTCTGAACCAAGCACAAGTAAATTGGTTCTCAGTAATGGCAGAGAACTAAAACACATTTTAGCCTTCCTCTAGGAACAGCAGAAAAACCTATAATGATATATTTTAAACTATCCAAGTTCTGAACTGTCAAAACTTAGAATGGCAACTAAATAGAAAGTGTCAATGTTCTCAGAGTTGAAAGAAAAGTAATGAGTCATGCTTTTGTTTAATTTCTTTGACAAATTATAAAAGTAGGATAAGTTTATTGTAGACATTTTTAGATGAATATAAAAAGGGAAATTGAAATTATAACTTCCTGCTGGCATGTTGATATATCATCTAGGCAATCAATGTGTGTAGATATATATTTTTTACATATATATTTGCATCTATATATAGCTACACACATAGATGTATATATATATATATAACTACTTTCAAAATAAAAGTGACATAATCTTTTTACCTCAGAAATTTTACTCATGAATGTTTCAAAATAGAAGTGATATTTTCCTATGGCTGAATAATGCGTTATGCTCTTTTAGACCACAAGCATAGAGCCTGTGAGGGGCAACTGAGGCACTCTCAAGATGACAGACACCGAGTGTTTTTCTTCACTATAGTTTTAATGTATGAATGTATGACCTCACCTCCATTTATACAGCCCCTCTCTTTACAAAGGCTCTCAGTAATTCCCCTGAGGATAGGCTAAGGTAGATTGTCTTCTTATCCCCCATGGAAGGGCAGAAAAGAAAGCATATGTGGTTTACCAAAGGTCCAGGTTCATTGGGGGTTTTACATGAGAAACTATGGAAATCTAGATCTTTGCCTTGAAAAGGTTTTAACTAATAAAGAAGATACATATGAAACAATGAGCAAGATTTTCAGAGCAGTCTGTTCAGATTATACACAAGGGACAACAAAATTCAGAGCTAGACAAGCAAGTTAGACTAGAGGAAATGAACAAGAATAGGATTTGGATCAGTGGTAAGAAAGAAATTGCATCTGGCTCAGGAGAACAAGATTAGATGACTCCAGATGGCAGGAATGTATGAAGGGGGAAAAAAATCAATGACAACCAGAATATTTGGTACCTGCAGGAGAGGAAAACTGGAGACCTGTCAAGGGAGCTGGCTAGTGAAGGAAGCAGTTCTGGGATGGTGGCATCACTGAAATGGTGGGCGGCAGGCATGCAGGCAGCTGTGGAGGTGGTGGCAGGGGTGAGGAGGGCTGTTCTGCAGGCCTTGCCTTAGCAAGCACAAGATGCAAGTGTGCAACCATTTCACTGGGCAGGACTCTCCCCTCCAAGGAGAAACCTGTCAGCTCTGGTGATTTGTTTATTTGGGTATTATTATTTTTTGTTGATGTATACATCAAAGCACTACGAAGCTTTGAAGAAAAACCCTGTGGAAAACACTTCAGTTTTAAATGGGAAAATGTCAACAAACTGCTAAGACACAAATGATTACTGGTTGCACAAATATGCCAGAGAGCTTGCTGCTCAGTGGCACTTTTAGGCATGCATTTTCCTTTCTCATTATGTTTCCTCATGCATCAAGATCAACTGGAGAGTGATTTGTCCTTTTACTTTGGAAGGTGCCTCCCTGGCCTGAGTCTAAAATTTCTGTCTGGAAAACTACAAGAAAATAAGAGATTATTATCTCATGTTTGGTCACACACAGGTTTTCTGACAAAAATCATGCAGTCAGATGCTACAATGCCCACACAAAACGATTTACATAGTCACATGATTCTCCTTCTAAAGCACATAGAGATGTGATGCCAGGCTAACAAATGAATTTTTCTGCAGAAAAAGGTGAATACCTGAAAGACTCTCTTTTTGAGAGCCATTTTCCATATAGAAAGCAGTGGTATTTTAGGGTAGCAACACACCCTTAAATTTACAGCAAATGGACATACATTGTTCATCTTCTCCAAACTCCAGTCACAAATTTTGTTAGAACTGGCAGGTACCTTGGAGTTTGTTTGGCTCTAGGTAGTCCCCTAGGTTCCTTCAGTCTGTAACTAAAAACTGGGAAAAGGCTCAAGAGTACCCACAAACCTGCTGGCTCACTTGCTGTAAAACTGACGAAGCAGATGTTCAGTTGTTAACTATTTTGTGAGCACTCATTTTGGAGAATTGTAATTTGACTGTTTGTCAAACACTCGAAGCTTGGGAAACCAGAAAATATTTTCCCAAACTACGAAAATTTCACACATATCTTTTCTTGAAATGCAAAGCTTTTTGCACTCAACTTGTAAATGAAATCAAAGATAATGGAGGGTATGGGGAGAATAAAAAAGAGGAGGAACCCTGAATCTAATATAGAAAACAAAGATAAAGTATAAGGCAGGCACCTACCAAGGCAAATATTAACACACCTTCAAAGTATCCTTTCCTTTGGCTGTTCCTTTCTGCCATCTATCCTTCTTGAACTATGATGTTAAACTGAAATGCTCAGTCAGGTGCATCTTGAATTGAGCATGCATGGGATGATGTCCACCACGAAGTGTGTTATCTTGTGAATATGCCAGGCTTTCTTAATGAAATGCCCATGCTTCCTTCGTTCAAGGAGGGAATCAGGCTGCGAATGTAGCTTAGTGATAGAGTGCTAGCCTAGCATGCAGGAAGGCTGGGTTTGATTCCTCAGTATCACATAAACAGAAAAAGCCAGAAGTAGTGGCGCTGTGGCTCAAGTGGCAGAGCACTAGCCTTGAGCACAGAGAGGCTCAGGGACAGAGCCCAGGCCCTTAATTTAAGCCCCAGGACCAGAAAAAAAAAAAGGAGGAATCACTTTCTATGGTCTCCTTACCTGTTGTAGGAAATAAATCTTTCTCCACTCATATCCTGACTTGTGCTTATTCTGGCTTTATATTCACCAAGATTTGAACCTATCACATTCAGTAACAAAAATAACAGACAAATAATAAGCCTGCTTAAATTTACTGTTGAGTTATTTCTGAACAGCATTAATAAAGGGTAGCTAAGAGGATATTTGCAAATTCTTCCCTTGAGGGAGAGATTCTTGTTTTGTTTTGAGGACACATGCCTAAGCCCAAAACAATTAGCACTCTTAATGTGTCCAAATAATGTTCCTGGATTTCATGTGTCTCTACTCTTAAAACGGATTAAAAGATAGAGTTAGCTAAAGAAAGAAATAGAGAGGAATCCAAAGAATTCTTTCAAACCAAGCAGCTCATCTAGTTAGAATCCCAATGACTGTTGGGTTTTGGAGACAAGTTACGCCAAGATGGAGTATTAAGGAAGTAACTTCTTAGCAGGAAGAGGCCCTCAAACAGAGCCAGAGGCTTTGTTTAGGTCTGCCATCAATTTTGTAATCTTAGGGAACGTTAACATTATCATTAACATTACAGCATTCCTACTGCTTCTATATGTCACTGAACATAACTCTTGGAAGGAAGAAGAAGAAAGCCTAGAGGAAATAAAATAGTCAGGTAGAAGAAGTCAAGTAGAAGGAGATAGAATTAGGATTCAAAGTTGGACAAATCCTTGCATCTCAGCTTCCTAGTGTGGAACATTCAAGTTGAATTATGGGTTCCAGATCAGGGCACCAGATTTCCAGAAAGCCACACAGACTAATAGAACTCATCATTACCTCACTGTTTTCCTTACATACGGCTAAAAAAACCAACTCAGTACCTCATCATATTTTAACCTAATCAGAAATTCACGTTGCAGATACAAATCTCTGGTTAATTTTTAAAATGCTAAGGGAATTACATTATTGAATGTCTGGTTTATTCTACACAAAAAATTTTAAATAATTATTTCCTTGGATAGTAAATTACCTAAAATTCACCAGTCAACTTCTTCTTTTTTTTATGTTTTTTTTTTTTTTTTGGTTGGTCATGGGGCTTGAACTCTGGGCCTGGGCGCTGTCCCTCAGCTCTTCAGCTCAAGGCGAGTGCTCTACCACTTGAGCTACAGCGCCACTTCCTTCTTCTTTTTTTTTATTGTGAAAATATTGTACAGGGCTGGGAAGGTGGCTCAGTGGTAGAGCGCTTGCCTTGCATGCATGAGGCCCTGGGTTCGATTCCTCAGCACCACATAAGCACAAAGAAAAAGAGCCGGAAGTGGCGCAGTGGCTCAAGTGGTAGAGCGCTAGCCTTGAGCTGAAGAGCTGAGGAACAGCGCCCAGGCCCAGAGTTCAGGCCCCATGACCGGACCCCCCCAAAAAAAATTAAATAAATAAATAGAATCCCTCACAACACTGGGTACAACTTAATTGCAATATTTAACATATTAAATGTATTCTTAAGTCCATACTCTTAAATGACTAAGATTTCATTTTTGTCAATTCTCTATGTCCATTCTACAGGTTTTCCAGTTTTTATTTGAAGAACACAGCGGTATTGCTACACTTGTCATTTATAGTTGCTAGTTCCTGGTTTCCATCTTTGCAGGGATAAGCTAACAAAATATTTTATGAATAATAAATAATTGAATAATAGAATAAATCTATCAACATGGTAAATACCCTATGGCTTTTGTCTTTGCTTATACATTCAGAAGGCTCTTTCTCCAAGTTTAGAGGACTTACACATTTGCATACACATTTCTCTTAGTTTTCTTTAAATATCTAACTCTTAAATTCACTTTCAATTTATGTGGCATATAGTATGAAGTAATACACTCTCCCTAAAATAGTTACAGTGCCTGATAGTTAACAGATACTATTGTTATATGCTAATCTGTCACACATATTAATGTCTATTTCTGAGCTGTTAGAAAAATTGATTTTTCTCCTTATCCCAGTCTTCTACCATTTTTGTTATTTTAAATTCTAACTACATTAATAAATAGTGAATATTTGCCATTATTGTTCTTTTTATCCCAAAGTTCTTATTCTAGATTTTTAATCCTTCCAAATTAATGTAGAGTAACTTTTGGGGGTGGGGGGAGGGTCCAGTTGTGGGGCCTGAACTCTGGGCCTGGGCACTGTCCCTCAGCTCTTCAGCTCAAGGTTAGCGCTCTACCACTTGAGCCACAGCACCACTTCCGGCTTTTCTCTTATGTGGTGCTGAGGAATCGAACCCAGGGCCTCAGGCATGCAAGGCAAGCACTCTACCACTGAGCCACCTTCCCAGCCCAGTGTAGAGTAACTTAAAAGGACAGATAACCACAACAATAAGGATTATAACTTAATTTGTGGCAAATATAAATTAACTTGGAAAGAAATGGTACATTTCTAATTTTTTTTTTTTGTCAGTCATGGGGCCTGAACTCTGGGCTTAGGCACTGTCCCTGAGCTCTTCAGCTCAAGGCAAATGCTATACCTCTTAAGCCACAGCACTACTTCCGGCTTTTTCTGCTTATGTAATGCTGAGGAATCAACCCAGGGCCTCATGCATGCAAGGCAAGCACTCTACCACTGAGCCACTTTCCCAGCCCCATTTCTAAATTTTTGATGCCAGAAATCCGTATACTTTCTATTTGTCTAAGACTTCTTTTATGTGTCTCTATAAAGTTTTATAGTATGCTTTAAATGTATCTTACATAGTTCTTGTTATATTTATTTCTGAGCACTTATGGTCTATTTCATATCTTATCATTAAGTAGAAATAATGAACAAGATCATAAAAGTAAAACAAAAGAACTGGAAAATAGGAGTGGCTAGTTGCATGATAATATAGCATCTATTCCATTCACATAGAAATGCAGTATGTTTATACTCGCAGAGATCCACATATGGTCCTTTTAACAGAGTAATCCTTATACCTTATTTATTGATATTAATTTACACTATTCATAACATTTTACACAGAAGTTCCTACAACATATTCTATAGTTTAGAAAACATTTGTTCTATATGAAAGCACAGGCTGTTGATGGAATTAATTCTGCTACCTGTATAATAAAATAGAAGAAGTAAATGTGGTTCTTATTAGAATGGAGTTTGGGTGTGTATTCTAGAGGAAGACAGATGTTTAAAAAACATTGTCTCTGGAAGGACTGCACTGTATATCTACTTCCATATTAAATACTTCTCTTCTAAGAGAATATATCAACACATCAGAAAATGTAGCATTATGTATATATCATAATAACATTAAAAGAACTATTTTTAAGTATGCAACCCTTAGAAGTCTTCATGTAACTTCAGTTTAATATTTAATTAATTAAATTTCTTTTTCAGCTTTGGGTTGAGCACTTCACTTTATTGACATTGCTTTGCACTTCTTAGAAAAAATCTTAATTTATTTCAGGACCAGAGAAAACAGCTAGCAGGGCTCTAAATTTAAGCTGGAAAAAAGCAAAGTCAAACAGTTTCTGAACATCCAGGAATCTTTATCAGGACCTAAAATTCTTTCCATACAAGGTATTAGTTAAAAAGTAACCACGTTACCTTTATATGTTTTACTCCACAGCTAACCACTCTGTTTGGCTGATATGGATCCCAGGAAATATCAAAAATCTGTCCAAAAAAGAAATACTGATCATTTTCTATGTTTTTGTACTTTTTTCAGAGGCCAGTACAACTGGCAAGACTCTACCTTAAAACATTTAGAACCCAATGTTACCTGCACAGAATGGAAATGAAGACTCTGGCCATGAGAATGTGTAATGTACTTATAATACTTACATCCAGATATAGCTACTTACTGTAGGCTTAAGTACAGGCACACCACCCACAGTAACTGAGAACAAACTGATTGACATATTTTTAGTTTTGTCCACTCAAAGAAAACAAAAAATAAATGAATGGCAATGTTTTGGTCCAATTTTCCAAAGCTCTTCTCTTAATAAAATATTTTATATTTAAGTCACAGGTACTTAGAAACTGCTTCTTGATAAACAGCCCTGGGTCTAATAAAAATAAGCAGGCTAATAAGCTAACTAAGAGTGGGATAAAAGCCTGGCATCCATACCTTCATTTTTATGTGATGCCTTTGTTTTAAAACTTTGGATCAGAATCTTGCTTAACTCTGCATGTAACTGAGGCATCTTACAATGTCTTGTCCCACAGTTCCCAAATGGCACCTAGCCATGTCCTAAACCTGTAGCCACCTGGGATTGCAAGAAGAACAGAGTTTCACAGAGGATTACTCCATGATGAGCCACCATCTCATGGGAACAAGAGTATCCTCTCAACAATAGCGACTTCTTCAAACCATCTTGTAGATCTACAATTGAGATGGCTAAGTAGACTAAACTTTGACCATGACTACTAAATTATGCATATCTCTTTGTTTCCTGACCAAACTCATTCTCTATGTAAACCTAAAGCTCATATCAATACTCTGAAGACAGGGTGAAATGCTTACTTTCCATCTTCCCCAAATAGCTATATTGATTAAAAATCCCATCCCACCTTTTTACCATTACTTCCTATTTGCCTTCTTCAGGGTAAATGGCCAGACCTGACTTAGAACCTTTAGAGTTAGGGTTTTGGCCTAAAACTGTGATTGCACCTTGACACAGCTTTTCTTAACAAAAATGGAAAGAATGATCAAATTCTTTATTGTAATTAGGAATTTTCTTAATAATTGATTGCAATTTATTGTGGACCACAGTCTCTAGTAATTATAGAAAATATGAAAGAGGCATTTATCTGACACTAGCTTAGAACACCTAAAATAGTCCTTTAAACCTTAATTTTAATCTGACCCAGATATGCTGTAGTTTTTAGTGTTGTTGTTGTAGTTTGGGTGTCACTCCTGGGGCTCAAACTCAGGCTTTTTTGCTCAAGGCTAATGCTCTACTACTTGAGCTCCACTTTCGATTTTCTAGTAGTTAATTGGAGATAAGAGTCTCACAGATTTTCCTGCCCAGGCTGGCCTGAAACCGTAATCCTCAAATCTCAGCCTCCTGAGCACCTAGGATTGCAAGTGTAAGCCACCAGCACTGGGCTACAAATCAGATTGTGACCAGTGTCTATGTCCCACTGCTTGGGTAAAAATGGCTAGGAATTGAAGTAAGTCATCAGGGTGAGCTGGTTTTGGTCCTGAGAGTCTCTGGACACACAAACCCAACAAAGGAAGGCAAATATTTCAGTGAAATAATCTTTCAGCTAAACAGGTAGATTAACAGCCCCACACACCCAACCCTGAAATGATGAATGTGTGTATCCAGGTAAATTTCCCTATAGCTATTGTTACTCCACCCCCTCTCACCACCCCACCCTAGGCCCACTGTCCAGCCAAGCCTAGCAGGATGAAAGTACATTCGATTCCTGAGAAAATTTCTGCCTATGTGGGCTGACTAAAAGGCCCACAAGGGACCATGCACTTGGGCATGAGTGAAGTCACTCCACACTCTTGAGCATTTAGGACCCTATCTCCAAAATAAAGGAAGTTCAGGATGCTTCAGGCTAGTACACAGCTTCTTGGGACTGGCTTCTTAAGACAAAAGGAAGACTCAAGAAGCTAGCTGCCTGAGAGGACTCGGCATCTGGTAGCTAAAGCTATTTGCCCTTCGCTCTCCAAAGAAAACATTTTTTAACCTAGGTTAATAAAAGCCCAAAAGCTGGGCCTGGCGCCAGTGGCCCACGCCTGTAATCCTTGCTACTCAAGAGGCTGAGATCTGAGGATCATGGTTTAAAGCCTGCCTGGGCAGGAAAGTCCGTGAGACTTTTATCTCCAATTAACCACCAGAAAACCAGAAGTGATACTGTGGTTCAAGTGGTAGAGCACTTGCCTTGAGTTGAAGAGCTGAGGGATAGTGCCCAGGCCCAGAGTTCAAGCCCCATGATGGACTAAATAAATAAATAGATAAATAAATAAATATCAAAAATTTCACCATAAAAAAGTTAGAGCAGCCCCTGGATTTCCTGAGTAGGCAAAGTGTAGGCTTTGAAAGTGGCAGAATGCTTTTCGACCCACTAGCTGTGTTCAGAGAATCCACACTCAGTCCTATTTCCCAGTAACTGGGGCATATAACTAAATACACACACACACACACACACACATCCTGGCTTTTCTTCAAATTTTTTCTATAAGTTGTAACACTGCATACTATAGGAAAGCAAGAAACAAATTGAGATTTTTAATCTTTCCCCAAATATAACCATAATTACAAATATATTCATTTTTTCCATTTTTACATATGCCATTTTCTCTTAAGAGAGCCAGAGACCAGAGCCAGGTTTTATGGGCAAGGGTTATAACTGGTTATAACTTCTCACTATAGTAACACTGTACTTTTTACAATATTCCCCTAACTAAAAAGTATAACAATTCAATAGGACACAGTAACAGAATTCAGACAAGTAGGTCTTGGTATATTTAATAATGCTAAAAGAAAAAAGTTTAGATGAATTAGACAGTTTAATTGACCAGAGGTTATTTTCAAACTGGACAGACTTCAGAATTAGTAAATTTAGAAAGCTCTACTTTACAAATACAGAAACAGGGAAAGTACACAAACAGGGAACTATGGTAAGAACCAGCTCTAAACAGCTCAGTGGTAAAGCTTGCCATCTGTCTCTCTTAGGTATGATCTGAGCAATTGGCTTCCTTGGATTAGCAGAAGCTCAGCTACTGGGTCTGACTCAGATATTTGTTACAAAAGTATACTCCTAACTTTGGCTTTCATTTTGTTGATGTACCAGGGAAAGATACAGTTTCTTATATACATACAGCCTCAAAGCATGGGATCAGGCTTAGGCCAAATTTAGTTCAATATGAATTCAACACTGGGATAAAAGCACTTTATATATGAGAAAGTGATTATATTAAGCTCTTTATTTTATCTGAGAAAGAGGATTTCACTGATTAAAGTATTCACAATTGTAGTTTTTTATATGTTCCCCCAAGGTAATCAGCCCCAAAATCTGACATATACTTTATTAATTCAGGTCAGGCATTACAAAAGTGTTGATAACTTAACATAGTAATCATAGAATAATTTAGATAAAAAATTGTGTGGGGACCTGTTCTCACACTCATAGCATCACAATCGTATGTACTGAGACCAAGTCCACTCTTTTTTTTTTTGGGGGGGGGATCCAGTCGTGGGGCCTGAACTCTGGGCCTGGGCACTGTCCCTCAGCTCTTCAGCTCAAGGCTAGCGCTCTACCACTTGA